GTCCCCAAGCACATTCTTCCAAAGTTTACTTTCCCAGCAGTTTTCAAAGCAACATGTTTGCATGATGGTTATTAATAAGGAAACACAAGAGAAAGTGGTATGTGACAGCAATTCCTCAGACTTCAAACTTTCTCGTAAATAGCAGGCTTTAAAGATGGTGGCTCAGATGTTGAGGGCACTTGCTGCACAGGGCCAGGGTTTAGTTCTCAATACCCACATAGTGACTCACAACCGGTAACTCCAGGAATAGGGATCTAACCATCCTCTTCTGACCTCCTTGAGCACCAGGCACTCAACGTGGTACACATACATACATGCAGGTAAAACACCATGTCCATAAAATAAAGTAAGATAAGTAAATATTTGTACCTTGGAATTTGAAGGGTATTGGTTTGAGAAAGTCATGGAGCTATCCAAATCCCTGGATGCTCAAGTCCCTTTTATACAATGGCATGATGCATCTATAAAATTTGTGTATTATAGATCTAAATCACTCTAAATTATTTGTATTGCTTAATGCAATGTAAAGACGGTGGAAATAATTGTCACACTATATTATTTAGGGAATAAGGGAATATTGTATATGTAATGCTTTATATATATTTATAAATATTATATAAAATAATGAAATAATATTAGGGGGTAATAAAATGTCAGTACATGTTGAATGCAGATACAATTTTTAAAAATAATCTTTGATCTGCAGTGGTTTTAAAAAATATCCACAAATAATACCTTGCTCTGGTTGTGCTTTACTTGGGATTAATGTATATTGTTTTCTTCCTTGGAACTCTGGATCCTTTTCTCTTATTTGGTTTCGACTGCAAATTTTCTGTTTACGAAACCACACTTCATTCATTGGCCATGGACGGAACTCAGGTGTTACGCTCATTCTCCAGCTGCATGCAGCTATTGTTATTGGTTAGATAAAGCTAGGATTACTTTAAACATTCTTAAACTTCTAGAGTCTTTTTTTTGACTTCTAAAAATGTTTCAAAGCAACAGATACTGAAAATAGAACTTCCTTTGGGTATCAACAGTAGTTTGACACCTGGAGATTAAATTTTCTGCTATAGATTGAATATGGCCCCCCTTTTCCTATAAAATTCATATATTGAAACCTAATCCCCAATGTGTGGCTATTTAAAGGTGGGCTTTTTCAGAGGTGACTAAGTCATAAAGAGGAGTTCTCATGAATAGAGGTAGTGTCAAATACATACATGCACACACACACATACATACACACACATATGCACACACACATACACACACACATACAAACACACATACATACACACACATATACACACACATACATACACACACATATACACACACACATACATACACACACATATACACACACATACATACACACACATATACACACACACATACACACACACACACACGATGCTAAAAAGCTGCTTGCTGGAATGTGTGAGAAGACAGTGAGAAGGGACCACCTGTGAATCAAGGATTAACAGTGAGTCCCCCATCAATGCCAAATCTGCTGGTACTTTGACTTCTGGCCTCTAGAACTCTGAACACCACATTTCTGTTGTTTATAAGCCAGCGAACCTACAGTAATTTGCTATAACTTCTAAAATGGACTAAGACATCCACCTGCCCTGAAGGGCTGTGGACAAGTCTGTAACTGAAGTGGGGACGTGGAGGGGATCGGTTTCCATTAGAGTCCATAACAGGGTTGCTGTGCCCTCTCTGCTTTGCTGCCACAGTTTATCAGATGTTATAGCTCTCGTGACACAGGTGCAGAATGGTAGAGTGGATTAGCAGTCAGGATGACATGAAAGCCTATTTGTTGAGGGCCATGATTTTGGCTGAATGTCTGTTAATCAACTGGGACGGTTCCTGGATGTTGCAGGAACTAAATGTCACTTCTCCCTCAGAGAATGCTTCAAGGACAAATGAGCTCTGCCCCTGTGGAGGTGGACCAGCTTCTGGAGCATGGAATGAACTACCATGACATTTACGGCACAGGATTGGGAGAGTTACAGCTTTATGTAGGAAACAAACCTCTTTAGAAGGCTAACTAATGGCTGAGATATGGCTCAGGAGTTGAGCCATTGTGTGACTCCTTCACAGAAGACATAGGCATGTTTTCCAGCACCATGTTGGGCAGCCCACATGGCAGTCAGCTCATAACTACCTGTAACTCCAGTTTCAGGGATCCTACATCTCCTGGCATCTCCGGTTATCAGCACTCAGGTGGCATATATTGATATGCACAGGACACACATGCATGCGTGCACACACACACAGGCATACGCACACATGTGCACATACACACACACATTTTTTTAAAAGATGAACTAATGGTGTGAGCATTCTGTTCTTACAGTAGTGAGTCAGGGATATGTGCCTCTCAGTTTTCCCTAATAGCATTTTGTATATTCGCAAACTGACATGAGACCTTTCAGGTTGACTATTTATAAACATACTTAGCTTTCCTCATGACTTTCTATGCCTGAGCCACAAATGCCAAGTCATTATTCTTTTGTCTGTTAGAAGGCACTAGAAAATCCATATATAGATGTAGATATACGTGTTCATTTAACTAATGGTCACTGTTTTTGTTTTGAATGTTGGTAGCAGGGATGACTCAATATAAAGACAAAAGGTCAGCTTAAACATATTTTTATATAACCTTCTAAAAATTTATCTTTTGTTCATGATAAATATTTAATCTTAGTTTTCCCTGGATAAGCATAGGTTCAAGGACTACATAAAGACACAAAATCCATAGATACCAAAATAACTTATTTAAAATGGCTCATGGTTTACACAAATATTCTTCTACTATCTTTTAAATCATATCTAGAGAGTGTATCAAGTTGATATTAAGTGCAAGGTAAACACTTTGTAATTGGTTGTTATAGTACATGATTAGGTAAAATGCCAATAAAAGAGTCTGTATATATTCAGGAAAGATGCAATCATTCATTTATTTATATTTATGTATATGGGTGTGTGTGTTTGTGTAACTGTATGCTATGTGTGTGCAGGTATCTGAGGAGGCCAGAAGAGGACATCAGATCCTTGGGAACTAAAAGTATAGGCAGTTGTGAGTCACCCCAAGTAAATTCTGGAAACCCACCCAGGGGCCTCTGTAAGACTAGCAATTGGTCTTAACCTCAATAGCTCTCTCTTTACCCCTCCATTTAAAACACTTTCAATATTTTCAGTCATGATTAGAGAAATCTACAAATGTATATCTGTATACCCTTTGTCTATACAAGGTACAAATCAGCATATATATGAACATGCATATATCAAGAATATGTGTTTAATGTATTTAATAATGTAGGGTGCATGTTTTAAAAGTTGGAGATCAAGATCAGTGTTCAGAACTCTTCTCATCTTCTTCAGGTAGACTTACCCGGTCTAGAAGTTACTCTGTGTGAAGACCATAGGTTGCAAACTTCTTTTTTTTTTTTTTTTAAATTTTTATTTATTTATTATATGTAAGTACACTGTAGCTGTCTTCAGACACCCCACAAGAGGGCAACAGATATCATTACAGATGGTTGTGAGCCACCATGTGGTTGCTGGGATTTGAACTCACGACCTCTAGAAGAGCAGTCAGTGCTCTTAACCACTGAGCCATCTCACCAGCCCGGTTGCAAACTTCTTTAAGGGGTTTCTGGAGTAACTAGTTCTGTGAGAGTCCCTGCAACAATATCGACTATTTCTAGTTTTTGTCATCTTTGTTGAAGAGGAGAGGAATAAGATCCTTAACTCTGAAGCCACTAGAAACAAGCTTCTCTGTTGGGCTGAAAAATAGATCTGGAAAGTCTACATAAAACCATAGTGTGAGGCTGAAAAGAGGCTAGACTCTTCTCTGCTGCACACCAAATCACTTTCTTGGGGGAAACAGAGTCAAGTCGACCTGGCCAGGTCCTGGAGAAGGCTGCTGCTGTGTTGGGAGCCGACTCTTAGCCAAAAGTGGCTATCATCTTTACAGCCATCTCGAGCCATATACCCTGACAAGAGACTTGTTTTCAACAGCCTGCAATAGCTCAGCACACTCTGATAAACATCTTGTTACACTGTTTAGTGCCCCCAGCTGCAAGGTGCTCCTGGTATCCATGGCTACAAGGCACATGACGTAGTGACTTCAGTTGAGCTTGTCCACGAGGGCAAGTCACGTGGTAAAGGGTATAAATACCCAGGATTTCCTTTCTATGTGTGGAAGAAGATAGGAGAGAATATAGAAGAAGAGAGGAGAATAAAGAAGAGACTTGAAGAGACTCCACTGGACTCTATCTTGTATCTATCTTTTGCTTCTCTCGCCCCTTTTTCACACTTCCTCCGTCCTCACTCTCTCTCTTACTAGACCCTGACCTACAGACCAAAACAACAAAACCAGCCGGCCTTTACAAAGTAACAAAACCTACCGTTACAAAAAAAATGGCCGTTACACTGTTGTAGTTCCCTGGATACAGTTTACCTATGGTCTCTCTCACTTATAAAAGTCATGAAGATCTTAGTGGCTTAGAGAAGCTTGAAAACATCATTGATAACAAGCGTCTGAAACTCAGGGATACTGTGTCTTCCACTGTACTGTAGCACATGCATTTGGGAGATTATTGATGGTACAAGAAATAAGCAGGCAATCTTTTTCTCAGATAAACGTGAGGTGGTGTAAAGCTTGATCACTGAATTTGATCCCCGGGACCCATGAAAAAAGTCCGACATGGAGGTAGTCACCTATAATCCCAGAGCTCCTATGTGAGAAGGAAGATGGAGGCAGGAGAACTGTTTAGAAGCTTGTGGGCCTAAAGTCCATAGGGTGGGAGACATACCAAGAGAGAATTTGCCTTAAAAAATAGCATGGAAGGAGAGAACAAATTTATAAAAGTTTCCCTCTGACCTCTAAATTCATGTGTTCTTACACACACACACACACCAGTAATAAAGACAGCTTCCCTCTGGGAAAGCCTTTGATCTGGCAGTAAACAAGAAAACAATGTCATCAGTTCTGAGTGAAAATGTAAAAGAAGAAGGCACAATTTATTAAGATCAAATTATTTTACAACTTAGTCTTCATCGGACAGTTGTCATCTTAACACTTCATATCGTTTTAAAAAGTCACGGTTACCTGCAAAATTATATATATATATATTTCACGTCTAAAAATATATTGCATATATAGAGTAGGAGAGCTCCCCGTGGGTATGAGGAAAATTTTGTTTGTCCTTTTCAGGTTATTGCGGCTCTGTTATTTACAAACATTTTTAAAGCACTGTAGATCTAAATGGATCTTGGGCATACGTGTTAAATAACCGTTATCACGGCATTTCTCCCTAAGAACTCACTGACTTTAACTCCCCACTTGCTGTTCATCAACAGTCACATTGTCCTTATTTTTTTTAAAAAAAAAAGACCAGCTATAAAAACGTACAAATAGCCCAAATGTACAGATTGACAAAAGATGTACAAATTATATTTAAAAAAAAAATAACAATGATTGATTTGATAGCAAAACTGCATTTGTGACCGAGGTCAACTCGTTTATTCACTCTTTAATTTTTAATTATTTATTTTTTTTAATACTGTGAGATATAGGAAAATAACTCTGCATAATTTATACAGTTAGTTGCCTTCTGATTGGTTGACCTTGGTCTGGTGGTCTGACAAACGCACAGCGCTTGCGAATCTGTTTGAGTTTAGAAATCCCCATGACTTTTCAAAGTTCTGGGACTCACTGTCATAAAAAAAAAAAAAAAACCACAAAAAACACAAAAAACCAAAAAAAAAAAATGTTATTTAATCCTCTGTCCTTAAGGAGTGTCTGTGTTTGTGTTAAACTTTCTTAGTTCATATTCTGACAACTTCTGGTGAGAATAGTCAGCCAAGTGCATATTGCCCATTGTGAGGAATTTTGTAATACTCATGGCTTCTTAAATACACATATACACACACATCTTTTATATTCCAGTTGGGCAAAAAAAGTCACCGGCCTCGCAGCCAGTGTTCCAGTTGCCATCCGCTGAATTAAGCCCTCCTAAGAAAAGATTACAAACATCCTGTCTTGATTTTTACTAAGTCTCAAACCAGATCAACCCTGGTCAAGTCCATGATTCATTATCGTAGGGAATCCTACAATGATGAGACCCGTGTGTTGATAAGAAACTGCTTTGGTCATGGAAAAAAAAAAAAGAATAAAGAAATACATACTTCTTTCTCAGAATCATGGCATAACCGTTCCAGTAATCTAAATATTTAACTCATTCGATGACAGGAGGTTGAGAATCCAAACTGGTGGACTGGCCCATGGAATGATCCTTTTTTTTTTTTTTTTTTCAGGTAGAGGAAGCAAAAGTTTTTTTTTTAACATAAAAATAATCATTTTTTTTAAAAAAAGAAGAACAAATACAAAGGTTCTATCCAAAAGAAAGAACATCCAGTTTTCTTATCTCTTCAAGGCTACTACTGTGCCTTTTAGAGTCCAGAGTATCCAGTAAGAGCGAGAGCCGAAACTTCAGCCAGAAGGCCAACTGGTGTTAAGTTCTAGTAGTAGCTGCCTAAGTGTGAAGGCACGTGGGTGTTAGGATGTCGGGGGACACTGGGATTCGGGTAGATCCCAGCAGTGGGGGAGGTCCAGTATTGTGATGCTGCTCCAAAGAAGCTGGAGGAGGTGACAGGCATGGAGGATGGGTGGGGTGGGACAAAGTTCACCTTCTGTTGATGGGCATGGTAGGAAGGCATGTAGGAGATATCAGAAGGATACTTGTACATGGATGTCTCTGTTGGGTGTGGCTGCAGGGCCTGCGCAATGCCATGGAAGTCAAACTTGTAGGCATACCTTTTGCCATGCACTTTGGTCATAATGTTTTTATCATAGTAGTATCGGAGGGCCCGGCTCAGCTTGTCATAATTCATGTTGGGCTTGCTCTTCCGCTCTCCCCAGCGCCTGGCCACCTCATCAGGGTCCGTCATTTTGAACTCCCCGTTGGTCCCCTCCCAGGTGATACAGCTGGCGTTGGCACTGTCGGACAGTAGTTCCAGGAGAAATTGCCACAGCTGGATCTGCCCACTTCCTGCAGGCAGGGAGGAAACAGAAGAAGGTAGTCTCAGTACTGATTCTTACACATGAAAATCCTTGTCCTTTCCCCAAAACAAAACAACAAAAACAAAAACCCTCATTGGCTAGGCATGGTAGCATACACCTTTAATTCTAGCACTTGGGAGGCAGAGGCAGGAGTATCTCTAAGTTGGGGGCTAGCTTGGTCTAGGAGTCCAAGACAGCCAGAGCTCTGTTACACAGAGAAACCCTGTCTGGAAAAACAACAACAACAAACCAAAGCCAAAACAAAAACAACAAACAAACAGAAAACCAAAAACCAAAAAAGAAACGCTTTTCTCTTATGTCAGAATCTCATGGAGACAACCCTTCTTTACCCTTTCCTTTAGAAAACAGAAATAGGCACATAATACATTTTAACAGGGCATAGGGCGATATTTTGATATGTGTACATAGTGATTGATGAGTTCACAGGCCCATCACTTCAAATGCTTGCTCTTCATCAAAGATGATGAGCACCCGTCTAGCTAGTTTGAAAGGCACAATACATGCTGTTAACTCTGTAGTTGCCACCAAAATGAGCGTATTGAGTAAGATTAGATCTTAAGATAGATTGTCCCAAGTCTGTGGGCAGAGGTAACAGGAGGGGATGGTAGATGGCACTTTATCTTCTGGGCAAGATGGTCTGGTTAAAGAGGAGGGAGGAGACCCAGATAGCTTGTGTTCCCTGTAGTACTGTAAATGCAGCAGACATGTGGGCCTAGCTTTTGTTTCCTTGAGCTCTTAATCACCATGGTTTGGGTTTAGAAGAACACATCTGAGAAGTTATTTTTAATAGCGACTCCTTAACACTTTGTCAAGTTCACTTTGTGTGCAACTCTTTAGGGACATACTTCTTTTTCAAAGGCTGGATAACTATAGCACTCAAATCAAACCCATAACACTTGGGGACATTTATCCACGAGCCCTGTATGAGGAATAACTGAGAGTATCTTCCCTCACGGGGAACGTCCATCTGAGTCATTTGCCATGAACGTAAACCTCTGTGCAGAGATGCTTGTTCTCCAGAAACATCTTCTGGCAGCGGACACTGCTACTCATTAACAGGCCCAGCCTCTTGTTTGTGGACAATTGAATATTTGACTTAAGAAGCACATGCAACCTCCAGACAGGTGTCTGTACTTAGGGGTAAGGTTTCTGTGACCTTACAGATATAATGAACATTCTAGAGGGAAAGGCTTGCAAGTTCAAGTTAACTCACCAGGGTTTGCTAGGCGGCTGCTGGTTGGCCCCAGGATCTGATAAGGATCTAAAAAGAAAAAAAAAAGCTTGCTTCATTCCTCATCAAATAATTTGACAGCAGCATCAAGATGAAGGAAACCTCAACGATTCCCACTTTTATCTCAGGGCCATAGAAAAAAGCTTGATCAAAGACCTTGACCACAGTTATGGCCCAATCAACGTGGAAGAATAACAGCACTATTTCTTCATATTTGGTTTCTAAACTTTTAGATAATGCTGTCATTACCCCCCCAAACAAAATCACCCACACGTTTGAAAAGCATCTGGTTAAATTCAACCAGGCAGTGAATAAACTGAAGGATCGCTTATTAAAACAGGCTTAAAGAAGGTCCTACAGTGATTACTAGCCATTAATAGCTCTTTCTAATGCTGAAGACATTACACATGTCTGAGTTTTCTGATGGACTGTAAAAACAACCAGGTAGCCTGGGTTCTCCTGCTAGCTATGTCATGAACTAAATCATAGTTTGGACAACCTCTGGGTATTTGTTTTCTCAGCTATGAAGAGTGGGTTGGTCTGCTGGCCTCAGTTCCCTTCTACCAAAACTCTCTGTGATTTTAAGCTTGAAAATGTCAACACTAACCAGAATTTGTATTTTAGCTATGAAGTCACTACTTTTTAAAAGCACACTGCTTTTTTCAATTATAATAGTAATTATTAACGAATTAAAAAATTAATTTGAATAGTTCTTGAAGCCCCTTAGTTCACCTTTTGAATTCAATTTTAATATTTATTTTAATGAAACTGAAATTGTTGGGGCAGATATTGAATTTTGTTGTTCTTGTGAGAACTTCTTTAAAATTTGCTCTACCTGACTTGGTTTTCACTTGAATTTCACCTTTTAATTGTAATTTCTCTTTCTACATTTTGGGTGGAAATGGAGAACCACCTTTGCACACCCCAAAGCCAAAAATTTAGATTCTTAATTAAGCCAGTGGAGCTGAGTACAATGGCTGTCTTCAGATCTGTGTAGGGTCTTCGTGTGGGACCTTTCCCCAGGAGACAAGAGGCCAGAGGGGTAGCTAAACAAAGGACTCTGGCTCAGAAAAGAATTAAGTCAAGATAGGTTATCAACTTCCGGTTTGTTGTAAGCATGCAAGCAGGAGCATGCATGCAAAGCCCGGGGCGGGGCCGGGCCAGGGCAGGGTGGGGCAAGGGGCGGAGGCAAGGGCAGCCCATCATAACAGGTCATGCTACAGAGGGTATTAGACTGCAGTTCTCTAAGTCATTTCTTTATTAAGGGTCCATAGCTTCAAAAGCTGTTTTGTCTTAACTCTTAGTATCCACCAAGTGAGGGCATTTCTGTATGGTTTAGGAAAGTGTAAAAATGTTTGGAGGAGAAGTGGGTGCTCGGGAGCTTCAGCTCTGCTTGTCTTTCAGCAAATCCTTTCTCCTATCTGAACCTCTGCTTTCTTCTTCTACGAAATAAGGCATTGGACCATTTCAGTTTTAAGTTCGTTTTAATGGATCGCTTCTTGGTTCCAGGACTTGCTGCTTAATTCCCAGAAATTCTCTTGGAACAAAGAAGAGACAAGGTGTGACTTAGAGTTGCCCCTTGGTATACATAGGGGATTCGTCCTAAGGGCTGTCAAGGATATTAAAATCTATGGCTGCTCAAGTTCTTTACATAGAATGGGGTATTTGCATATAATCTATGCCTATTCCTCCATATACGTTAAATCAACCCTAGATTATCAAAATGACACAAATGCTATGCAAATAGCTGTACTGTATTGTTGAAAGAATAGTGAAAAGAAAACAAGTCTGTCCACATTCAGTGCAGATGTAGCTTCTTTGTTGAGTATTATTGGTCTGTGGTTGGTTAAATCCTAAGGCATAAAACCCACAGATATGGACGGCCAACTCTACACTGTCTCACCCCACCACTGACTGACTCCACAGCTGTATAATACACAGGGAAGAGGCTACATATTTGAGTCACATACCTGGCTGGGGCCGTTGCTCAGTGTTCTTGCCCATGGTCTGTGCTCCTCCAAGGGGAGGACCTGTGAAAAAATAAAGGAAAAGTGATAAGTGGACTTTTCTTCAGTGGCAGGAAAATTGTTCCTGTCACACCTTCCCCCCCGCCCCCGGAAGGAGGGCACATGAGCTGCCATGTACTCTCCCATGGATTTGTCGTTTTATTCATGAATACTTATCACACCAGTATGCTGTCACTGGTATCCGGTCAGGGGAGTTAGCAATGAAGTTATATTTTAACAGAAGGGACAACACTGAACGATGTCTGCTGATATGGGGTTGTACCATTCCTTTGAAATGTAGGACCTTGAGTTTTAAGATGACTCCGTGGGTAAGACTTTGCTGCATTAGGACAAGGCCCCAGATCCTAAGCATCCACACACAAAAGCTTGACATGGCTATGTACATTTGTAACACATGTCCTGGAAATGGGGAGGTATTGACACAGAAAAGAAGATTGCCGAGGCTTGCCGGACAGCCAGGCTAGCTGAGAAATGGTGAACTCCAGAGTTTAGTAAGAGACTTGGTCTCACAGGGACCAGGCAGAGAGTGATAAAGCAGGACACTCAATGTCTTTCCTTGGTCTCTATGTGTATGCATGGGTACATGTCTATACTTGTGTCCCCCAAATGCACACTTGTCTCCTCTATCTTTACAGAGTTCCCTCCTTGAGAAAGTGCAATTTGAGCAAAGATCACCTGTTGCCTGTCATACTGTGTTTTGTGAGAGCACCACCTCCCCCAGGGTTTCTCACGTTTACCCATCTGGATTATCCATATTTGAATGTATGCTGCTTTGAATGTGATCTGTGGCTTGGTGTGACTGGAGTACTCACACTTCTGTATTCAAACTGACCCCTCCTACTGTTCAGCACTCAATGCCTCCTTACAGCTAAAGATCTGGGGTCTATTTTCATAGTGTCATTCACTATCCCTTTCTTATCTTTTGTCCACTATACATCCTAAACTCCAGAAACCTGGGTTCCTCACTGCCAGACATACCACCATGGTCTTCCCTGACATCTACCTCTCCAAACTTGCCTGACTTTTCCTGCTCCCTTGACCGAAACATGGCCTGTCTGCGTAGCGGTAACTCAAATGATAGATTCACAGACACTCTTTAATACAGCCCAGATGAAGAGTTACGTGTGACCGTGATTTCTCTCTCCTGCCTAAATAACTGGTCCTTGCCTGGCTCGTCTTTGTGAGACCCAAACAGTCACGTGCTACATGAAGTAAACAGATACTGCACACTCATAACAGAAAGAGATCCTGGTTACCGCTTGTATGAACACAACCGCATTTTTAACATAATCTCCTTCAGTTTCCTTCATTTCCCTGCAGCTTTACTTCTTGGAAACAGTAAGATAGACATGTTGGTTGAAGAGCGAATCGCTCTCTTTCATTGCCCTTTAACGGAAGATACTGGGCAGATTTCAACAAATCATCAGCGGATCGTTGTTGGACAAATTAATGTCTGTGGCGCACAGCATCTCATAGGTTATCTTTCATGTCAGTCTCTTTAACTGGGGCTAGGGATGTTGTCATTAATAAGCCTTGTCATGTGGAGAATATAAGTCCTAAAGATTCGCTGTCCTGATCGACATAACAAAATCCAGACCAGTTGCTTTTCTTTAATAAATCAACTTGTCCTGAGAAAACTTCGAACCTTATAAGTTCTTAAACTAAGTGCGTGTAAATATTGCAAAAAAAAAAAAATCAAAATAAACCTCAAAAGTCTGAGCATCCCCTGCCAATTCACATTGACATCTAACCAGACAGCATGAAGATCAATGCTTGTTCTTAGTATGTGTCTTATGACCCTACACCCACATCCCAACTTCTGGCTCTCAGGAAACATCTTACTTCCCCCAAAATGTTTTCCTATTTACTTACTTTTGTTGAGGCCAGAGTTCATATTATTGCTCCATCCTCCTCTCCTGACAGAGTCATAAGAAGGATCTATTGAGAAAGAACAAATGAGAACACATCAGCTTTGTCTGTTTTGCAGGAAAGTTATATGAAGATGCTCTCTTGGTGATCAGAAGGAGTTAAATTTATTTCGTCAATAACTTGCTAAGCACCACTAAAGTATCGTCTTCCCTGAGGGACATTAACCCTAATATCTTATTTGTCGAATCTGGGAGCTGAAGCAGTAGAAAGAATCCTGAACTTGAAGTTGTAGGATTGGTTCACACTCTATCTCTGTTGTTATTTGTTGTGAGATGTGGGGTGCTCACAGGGATTTCCTGATCTTTGTCTTTGTAGAAGCAAAGTTGTATATGAATTATCTACCTCCTGGGGTTATGCTAATAGTCAAGTGAGAATAATTGTCAGCTTCTCTAAAATTATAAAATAACATAAATCAAGTGAAAAATTAAAAAAAATAAAACCTTTACAATGATGCAAGGATGTTGGACAGGGCTGAAAATCTAAGGAGTGATATCTGGATGAAGGTCCCTGGGAAGAACATCTCAAGGTCCAGGCTCATGACATTCCTGCGAGGCCAACTCCAGCATAGCTCCTCATGGCCCTGGTGCTATGGAATGACACACAGACGTGTGTCCACACTGTAGGCAGACCAAGGCTCTCAGACATTTCTATAGCAGAAAGGGGTGGGGTCTTATAACCACATACATAGAGGTAAGGCCAGAAGTGTGGCGAGGACCAGGGCTGACCAGTGAATGAACCAACAGAGATCTTTGAGCTAGGAAAGGCTGGCACTATACGGACCCTGAACTTTGACTCAGCTCTTCTCTCCCACAACCATGTTCAGAAACTGCTTAAGTAATGGCCTGGAAACACTCATTTCCTTTCTCATTGTGCGAAACCCATTGAGACACGGCACAGGCCTACCAGAAGGGCTAAGGATACAGAACTATGACTTTCAAAGTCTTTCCCTGAACAACAAAGGAACCATAAAAACCATCTGAACAAACGAAACACAAACCTCATCAAACAACTGTCTGACAGGGTGAAACACAAACCATCTCCTTTGGCCTGTCCTGAACCTCTCAAACAAATTAGAATAAGGAAGGGCTGGGAAGATGGATGGATGGATGGATGGATGGATGGATGGATGGATGGATGGATACATCTGATTGCCTGGCTTCACTATTACTGGCTAAGACAAACCAAAAGACAGGAAGTGTCCTTGTGGAAAAATCCACGTGCACATGCACATTCCTCATGGGTCTGGAAAAGTCAGTTCAGATTTTAAAATTATAGTCTTTAGCAATTGGCACAAAAAGCAAAACAGAGCATGGGAGGGGGAGGGGAGAGTCAGGCTGGAGAAGGAGGCAGGGTACAGGACAAGGAGACACAACTCAACTCCTTTAAGTTGCTATGTTTTTATTTTTGACCTATTTTTTCTTTATTTCCTGAAAACAACTTTTTCTTGTTTAAAAAAAAAATAACTGAATGGTAAGTCAACTAGCCTGGTTATAAGCTTGGAAAGAGGTTGATAGCTTTATGAACACTTTCTGAGGAGGCCTGTGGCATCCCATGGGGTGCATTCAGCTTTAGGATAAGCCTTAGGCAAGGGACAGCCAGCTAAGTTTTGGAACATGATGTTCATTCGGTCTCCTGCCAATAATTTAGAATCAACATTCTGTATGATGTTGTGTGCATATATGGGAGAAGTCAGTCATATAAAACAAAGTTCTTGCATTTAGACATTGACACAGTCCGTAAGATTGTCGGGTATTGTGACCATGTTCGAAAGACATTGCTGAGATGTCAATGACTATTGGAGACAAAGGAGGGTAAGGTAAGTAGCACTGGGGGTCTTAGGGACTTGAGTGAGACAAAGCAAGAGGAGAGAGAGTGGGCCATGGAAAGGCAGATGGAAAGGCCATGGAAAGTGCCTTGAACATGGCAGGCATATATGGTTGTAGAAGGAGAGAAGAAAAGGACAAGAAAGAAAGGTTCGAGTGGCCATTTGGGACCTTGTGGGAACGAAGATAGCATCTTTAGGGCCTTCATCATTCAAACAATAGGACCAAGGGAGGTTCCCAGTATGTAGTGACTCTGAGAGTCAGAGAGCACGCACTCCAGGTGCTGTGTGGACAGCACAGGGGACCTAAGGAGTAGAGGTCATTTTGTAAGGACAGAACAGAAAGTGGATGAACTGGAAAGTGATAAAAGTAAGTGTCTTAGTCAGGCTTACCATTGCTGCAGTGAAACACTATGACCAAAACAACCTGGGGAGGAAAGGGTTTGCTTCAGCTTATACTCCAGGTAACAGTCCGTCACTGAAGGAAGTCAGGACTGGAACTAAACGGGTAAACCTGGAGGCAGGAGCTGATGCAAAGACAACGAAGGGGTGCTGCTTACTGGCTTGCTTCTATGGCTTGCACAGTTTGCTTTCTTATAGAACCCAGGACAAGCAATCCAGGGATGGCATCACCTACCACAGATGTGACCCCGCCCTCCACTGATCACTAATTAAGATTAAAGCCTTACAGCTTTCTCAACTGAGGTTCCCTCCTTTCAGATGACTCTACCTTATGTCAAGTTGGCATAAAACTAGCCAGGTGAATAAGTAAAAAGGAGGGGGACCCACTAAGTCCCAGGAGTTGGTGTGTGCCATCTGACATCTGGAACACTTGTAAAATCTGCCTTAAAGCTTTCCACCTACACTTGCCTCAGAAAGCTCTCATCCCGGGTGAAAGCTGCTTCATTAACAGTTTAGAATGATCAATTTTTCAGCCCATTCAGGGCCACGGCTACAGTGACTGTCAACTTCTTGTCCCCTTTCCTTCTATTATTTTATTTTAGCTCTCGGGGAAGGGCAGGTTTATGAAAGTTCCAGAATGTGGGAATCAGTCTCCTAGGCCGTCACCAGATTCTTTGGTAACTCTAGGTGAGCAATCATGTTTTGAAGTTGAAGCTTGAGGTAGGGCATGACAGCCCATCTTTTCTAAGATTTTAATTTCAGTCTAAGATTCGGCATCCTCAGAGGTCAGGGATGCTCAGCCTCGCAGGGAGATGCTCCCATAAGCCTATCTTGTAGCCTGGGAATTCCAACTCAGTACCATTCAGTCCTACCACAGGTGAAGACAGAAGTATATAGACAGAGAGGCCGCTCCACAAACCGGCCTTGCAATGCTGTCACTCTGAAGTTCACTGAGCAATGAATGGCCATGCCATCAGCAGCCAATGTGTGTCACCGTCAGTGGAATCAGACTTCTCTCCCATCAGCCTCTCTACATACGCAGAAGTCCTTTCTCTGGCCCCTAAATCAGAAAAGCAGTGCCAGGGTACATGTATTCATTACACAAGCTAGTGAGTGCACCACAAGGTAGCTGTGGTGCAGGGGACATCTCCTTCATGCAAGACTGAAATTAAAAACCAGTGTTCTGAGAGTGAGGTGAGAAGGTGAGAAAGCCCAAGGCCAAGAGCATCTAGCTGCCTCAGATGCTCAAAGCACTGGAGACCTTTGGAGAGGAAGTGAAACCGTCAACACTGAGCTCAAGTCAACACTGAGCTCAAGGACCAGCGTGATTCATGTTTTAGAAGAAAATTGTCATCGGTGTTGAGATGATCTGTGCTGTTGTCGCTCATCCGAAAAACACCTGGGGCAGAAACGTTGGCCAATTTGTTAAATATGCACCCTCCTCTACTTCTCTCCATCCTTCTTACTCTCCTTTTCCATTCATGAATTCATCTTTACTGTTTGTATTCCACACACAAACACCAGGTCCTCACAGCTAGGAGCTGTCATGGTTTAGAGTGTGTGACGACACTGAGAACAGTGCCCTGCACATGGTACACACGCAGTAAATACATGTGAATGAACACACAGGATTGGCAGTGTCTCCTTCTTGTTAAAAACACACAATCCCTGTTGTTGTCAGCTAGCAGAAAAGAATCCAAGACTCCTACCTTCTTGAATTAGGTCTCTAGCTAATGCAGGCCTGTGGTGACAAGGATTACAGACTATGTCAACACCGACTGGGCGGCAAGCCACCTATTTTGAAGTGGAAGCTGAGAGTGTATCCCTTCAGGGAGGTCAGGAGCTGGGTACCACTCATTTATGTGCCTGGATCAGCAGGGGATAGCACAAAGGATGGTGGTCCCATAATGCTGTGTCATCTTGGGTGGTCATCAGCATCGTGAAAGTACATCCTGATATTTATGTGGTGGTAAATATAATCGAAATGGCATTTATCAAAACTGGTCTCATAGTTCATAGGGCAATGTTATCACTCAAATGAGGGGTTGTGTTTTCTCCTATTAAATGTTCCCCAAATGAAAACCTGGCAATGAGGTCATCTCTAGTACCAGACACACTGACAGACATATCTGTAACCAACATGGAAAAGCTGGAGAAGGGGGCAAGCCTGTTGCACAAATTCCTACAGACACTCTTGGCTCCAGAGCCAGATGCTGCCTGGCTATGCTCAATGCCAGCTAGTGCAGAGTTCTCCCACGGGCTGTGGTGGCTCTAAGCAGCCAAGTGCACACATACAGATGCCCCTCATGTGGTACACGGAGTCTGCATCCTGACAGCTACATCTGGCTTCAGAACAGAAAAGTTTGAGGTGGCCAAAGACTCAGTGTCAAAAATGTGACAGTCCAGGCCAGCACCCGAGGTGATGCTCTTAGACCTTCTCTGTGGTGTTAGATGGCTTTATCAGCAGAAAATTATGCCCTGATTCTGACAAACTCTCTTTCTGCTTCAGGGAAGGCTGACACCCCCTGGCTTTAAGGAGTACTAAGATGACAAATCCTATTGTGATTTCTTTGCTGAGCAGCCACCAGTGGGCTTTGCCTAAGGTTTCTGGTTTCAGGCTGTCCTGAGGTCAGTTTTCGCCAAAGCAAAGAGACCTGGGCCTCATGCCGGGGATTCTGGGCTTTGCCAGCCATTGTGGATAATTCTCCTTCCCATCTATGGCGCCCTGAACAGTTTCTCCATTATGCAATGCTCAGTGTGGCTGAATGTGACACTAAATGGTCTCTTAGATTCCAAGACAGCCTCCTAGGGTAGAGAAATATGAGCTCTGAGTCCTGTTGGAAGGGGAAGGCTTTTGCTGGCTGTGACCATGGCACAGACACACCAGTGTTAAACTGCTCCTGGAAATATGGCCTTCATCTCTGGAAATACCTTGTTCTCTACTGATGCCTCCAGTCAACTGTCCGAGACCCAGGTGCATCAGCCTGTGCGCAGCTCTCTCCGTGTCATGACCTCATCTACAGCCAACAGCAGCACACAGAAGCCTCTTTTTTATTCCCTCACTACACTGGGCCCTGCTTTCTCTATACTTGGTGGAAAAAAGATGCACTTTCCTTGACACTTCTCACTTAATTTCTGTTTTTTTTTTTTGCTGGGCAGACTGGCAGTGTCTATGATGTTTATGCTTGGAAAACCTGAGTCTGCTTGCCAACCTCAGAGAAGCCAATAAGCAAGGTGTTGTCTTTGTTTGGAGACAGTCAGATTGTCCTAGGGCCTGTGCCTACATGATCCCCTCAGTGGATTCTCTATCTGAGGTCATGTTTGCCTAGTAGATTCTATCTCTGTAGAGGTATGGATTTTTCTGACCACCAACATAACTGGGATTCTCTGCTTAGGACTCCTTTGGGCTGAATACCCGCTTCAAAAGCTAACTATGCTTCCTGAACCCCGAGTTCACAACTCTGGGACAGTCTCTCATCAAAAATCATCTCTGTTATGTTCGTGTCCATATCAGTCCTGACTTGCTCTTATCTGACCTACTTACTGGCCTGGATCCTACTTTAAATCCAGGGCAAAATCAACTTACCCAGAAGATTGGCAGTCTAAACAGAGTTTAGGGCTCTGTCCTGGGAGAGGGGTGCTCCTTTTTTTGCTAGGACCTAATGATAATTTCAGTGGCTGCACATGGCCCTGGGATTGATCTAATCCCAGCTTTGTCCCTGTTCATCTGAATCCCTTGGTCATGTTATTCTGTCTTTTTGAACTTCAACTCTGCTTCTCTACAAAGCAGGATAACAAATTTTAACAACCCTACTGTGGGGATCCATAAATGGGAACTTTCCATAAAAGGGAATTCTGTACATGATATATAGATGTCTGTTCCATCTTGCCTTTACTTCTACAATTAGAGGCGGTCATAAGGCCTTGAAAAGGAAGAGGAGCCCAAGAGTTCCAAAGGACCAGCTCTAATCTGGTGCCCTCGAAGATTCCAAGATTTCAAGATAATTGAATGTATTTAAATGAAAGCAGTGGATCATCATGAATTCTGGTTTTAAACATGATCTCAGAAGACAGAGATAGGCAGCAGCTAGGAGTCATCAGCGCTGGCTTTTTCCATGACTTCGAACTGCTCAGCTTCCTGTTTTAGTTGGTCTTGAGGCTCAGGATGAATCCTCCACCTCATTTGATCCATTCCCTAAAGCTCACCCAGCCTTCCCTCCAGTGGTATTTTTGTTCCACAGAGCTACAGAGCATCCTAGCATCTCTCAAGACTTCAGGAAGAGGAAGTTAAAAAGGGAATCCTTTGCTCTAGCTTGGAACTCAAAGAAGCAAGAGAAAACATCCTGGCTCAAGTTTCCTTTTCTCAAGGATCTTGTCCTGGAATTCAAATAGCCCTTCAGCCTCAGGACCAGCCCCACTGCACGGAGCACAATGAAAGTAGTGTTTAAGATATTCTGTGGGCAGAGGGAAAAGAAGATTCATGAGGAAAATGCTGGAAAGAAATGGGCGGCTTTGAAATACAAAAAGTTTGACAAACTAAATGGCATAGATGCTGGGTACAGCCTTCCCACCTTCCTGCAAGGCATCCTGCCCAGCCTGGGTTCTTCTTTCATTTCGTCTGCCCTGTGGGCTCTCTGTCCAAATAGCACAGATGTCTAAATAGACTATTTATTTTGATAAGGCCTCAAAGTAGGGCTTTGAGCCATACGTGGAAGAGGAATTCAGATTGACTAGCTGAATTGGGTATTTGCCAAAATTTGCCCTCCACACTGGGCTATAGTAGACACGACTCAATCATATACTTCTTTGGTCAGATGAATGTCAGGTCTAAGAGGATTCCAGCTAGGAAAAAATGGGAAAACACAACAGCTCATTTAGGCAATCCAGAGTTGTTTATGATTGCCCTCTGCTGCCTCCACGATGTCCTCCTTTGCCATGGGCAATTGGATCCTGCATCTGCCTCACAATTCAAGCTTTGCACACCTTCCTTCCAATCCTTCAGGTCATGACTCGCTGGTCACTTGTTTCATGTTTACTGTCTTTGTCTGCTCAACCATCCAGTGTCAAGTGTGACATCTCTTTGTCTAGGTGAGCATCTCTGCAGCAGAGGGATCGAACCATAGTCACTTCTGACCCCTCTCCAAACTGGTTCTTGCTCCACCCCAGTACTAGCTTATTGGACTTAGCGAACATACCCTACCACATACTTATTCATTCAACAAAGTTTTCTTGAATGCCTGCTCTGTTGCCAGACTCACGTATGTGCCTAGAATACAACTCTGGCAATGCAAACGCCCTTCTTCCGTGGAACTTGATTCAGAACAAATAGTAAACTATGCAGTAGATTAGATCAAGCTGCTGAATGTGGCAGAGCGAAGCAAGTCAGGAGAGGGAGCAGGCAGGGCTGGGTAGGAGGGCCTCACCAAAAACAGAATTTGAGCAAAGATTTGGACTGTCCATGTACTGAAATGGAGCTCTCTTGGGAGCGCCATAATTTCCCTCCGAAAAGTGCTTGGATTGTCCTATGTTGATAGTGACAACTTACAGGACAGCTAGTTCCATTTTGTTTGCATCTTGTGGGAGTGGGTTGATGTTGGAGGATAGTAACATTTAAAAGCTCCACAACATCTTTTGACTGTTTGCTCATTTACCCATCCCTGACTTAAGATGACTATTCTAATGAAAAAACGTCACACACCAACAGTTCCTGAGACTGGCCTTCTGACAGACAGCTAAAACACTAAAGTGGGTTTCAGGGAAAGACACGTCTTTGGAGTCAACATAGGAGAAGTGGGCAAGTGAGGTCAAACTAAAGGAGACTACACTGCTTTGTTCTGGTCTGCCAGGTGAGTGGACAATGTCAAACACGAAATCTTACACCCGGGTATCTGAGAAAATGGCCCCAGTTTTGGTAGCATAATTTGTTCCCACTACATCACAGAATGGCAGGCTCTGTTTCAGACTTCGAGGGATCCCAGACATGATCTAAACCAGACATGCAAATGAGCATGAGACCCAAGGTTCAAAGCTGGGAGACAGCATATGTGGCCACGTAAGAATTTTATTAGAAATTGAAAATATGACTCAGACTATCAAAACTGACTTTCTTTAAACTGATCTTAGGCTATTGGGGAGGACTGGTAATTAGGACAGACAAAGCTTTCAGGCTCAAAGAATTTTCAAAATTATATCCTGAGCAGCTTTTGTCTCTTTGGAATAACTGAATCTTACCAAATACTGGACTGTTTGGGGGTGTTGTTTAAAGCTTTAAAAATATTTGGGGGAAGCAATCTCATGGCTTCCAAACAGTAAAGCCATTCATTGCAAAGGAAAGAATTCAGGATCTCCGTTATTCCAACTCTGCACCCCACTTCCCATCTCATTAGCTATGTTCTGTGTGAACCTTGGTGAGCGACTTCACCTTTCCGACCTCCGTTTAGGACAAGTATAGTCCTGTGGGAAACAATTGACTATTTGTAAATTTCAGACTGTGTAAGAGCAAACAGTATATTTAATCCTCACAAGGGTCTTTAGAGACTAGATAAGATCAAGTATACACAAATGTTTCACACACTCCAAAGTCTCCTATGGAATTGTAGTTAATCTTTTCCAGTTAGCATTTTGGTGTATGTGCACATGTGCACGTGTGTGTGTGTGTGTGTGTGTGTGTGTGTGTGTGTGTGTGTGTGTGTATGTGTGTGCTGGTGCATTCATCTTGGTTGCACATGTGGAGGCCAGAGATGGGATCTGGGTATCTTCTTCCTATTGCTTTCTACATTATTATTAGTACTTAGTAGTATTAGTGTTATTATTTTGAGACAAGATTATTCACTAAACCTGAAGCTTATTGTTTTGGCCAGTGACTGGCTGGCCAGTAAGCCCCTAGGTTCAAGCTGTCTCTATTCCCAGACTGAAATTACAGAAGCATACCACCTTGCCCAGTTTGTTGCTGTTGCTATTGTTGTTGTCGTTGTTATGTGGGTACCACAGACCTGAATTTAATGTCTCCTTTGTGCTGCATTTTACCCACAAGCCATTTCCCCAAATTCCTCTTTTCCAGGTTTTATTCATAGAAATTAATTTTTTCTTGTGTTAACTAAGCTAATTTCTTCTGGTTCTCTCTTTAGTAGAGCAGCAAGACTGAGTAAATATTTAACTCAAATGAAACAGATTAGATTTTCTTTCCCAGCGAATCAATCCATCAACTGTCAAGGTTATTTACTGAAAATCTTTGGGGTTGGAGAAAAGAATACTGGACAAAACTCACAATTAAAGATGACAAGGTAATCTGAAATTAGGTCTAGAAATAGCTCCTGGGTGCAGGGCTTAGGGAAGAGACACAGTTTGTAGGAGTAAGGTAAACACACACTGAGCAGGTATGATTGATTTGGGATTTGACATATAAGTAATTATCCTACTTAATGTTATTATTCTCTCTTTGGATTCTGCCTGACATGAATTTAAACTGAACCAAAGAGACAGAAGAAGCATCTCAGTCTTCACCTGTGAGACCTGATGATTCCCAAAAGAGGGAGAAAACCCTCACACTTCCATTCCAGCCTCAGATTTTCTTCCTTAAAAACTTTATCTTCTCTTCCATGGGGATTTTTCAGGAGAAATGACTTCTCTGTGATCTTAAATTAAAGCTTCTCCAAAGACAGGAAGTTGTTACATCTATGAAAGTTTTTCATATTAAAATAATAAATGGTGCTGCTTACAGGCCATCCTTTTAACTAGAAGATGCACTTCTTCCATGTTCTTCAAGAGGAGCGTCTATATCTGTGTTTATATTCCTCTTCCTCCTTCTCTTCAAATAGAGAAAAAGACAGATCTATACTTTTCTGTATGAGGATGACAGATAGATAGATAGATAGATAGATAGATAGATAGATAGGCAGATAGCTATATAGATAGATAGACAGATATTAGATAAAAGCTTGGGGAAAATGAGCTTGTTTTTAAAGCATAGTCTTTCCATGTGAGGATAAATGGTTTCAGAGCCTCTATCATGCACCATGACCCACAATTCTTTATAAAATGGTGCAATGCTAAATAGAACCCATGCTCAACCTCCCAAAGACTACCAGTCATTGCTGGATCACTTATGCTATCTCACGACTTGGGTATCACTTCCATGCTTATGTACTGCTGTGTAAGTAAAGCACACTAACTCATTGCATTGCCGGAGGGAGGGGCATTTAAGATCACTTAAAATACTTAATACAATGTAAATCAGTGCTCTCCTGTGTTATTTAGGAAATGACAGGGAGCTTGTTTGTCCAATAGGATGCACTTTTCTCCATCAGTGGTTGGTTGAACCTGCTGATATGGAAGCCTGGATGTGAGAGGCCAGCTACACTTTCTAGTGACTACTGCCCCTAAACAAACCTCCTGTCCAGGAATATCTAAATCAGTACATTGGGCAAACACATGTCTCTGGATTACTCTGTGTTGAGGTAGCCACCAGCAGGCATCAACAGCACTTGTAGACAACCCTTTTTTCTTGCTAGTTAACTTGAAACCCTTCTCAACATCAGACAGTTTAACAGGACAACTTTTAGTTTCCATCACAAATCAGAGCACACGGTGAAGGTGTTTGAGGACTAAGATGAATTTCATTCTGAGTTTTAGCTTCACTGTGTGGAGTGAGACAGATCTGTAAGGCAGAGAGCAGCTTGGTAAAGGCAGCAGGACTGATATAGTAGCAGCCAGGCTAGAGATGAATGAGGAAGGCCAAGCCTACTTTAGCAAGTGCGAATTACCACTAAGAAATATGTGACATGGTCAGAGCTTCAGCCACAGAGCACCACAATCAGGGGCCCCTGCTTGCTGGTGTGGAAAAAGGAGGAAGCTGAGTCAGGTTGGGAAGCTCCACAGGATGCCATTACCCACAAATAATCTTCCCACAGCCTTGCACCTTCAAGTGATTACAGGAATCATGTTCCTTTATAAAAATGCACCAGGGCACACGCATTCTCTCTTTCTATTATTAGCATCACAGGATACATACATGTGTACATACAGCCTCCTTTATTTCTCCCGGAAGCCTCTAAGAACAGTTCTGATACACATAAAAGCAAAGACAGGCAGAAGAAAGATTGCCAATCTAAACGAGAACTTTTGGCATGGTCTTTTGGCATGCTGTGATGGTTAATAATGTCAACTTGACAAGATGAAGGAGACAAACTTCTGGCCATGCCTGTGAGGAACTACCTCAACTAGGTTACTTGAAATGGAAGTGGGCAGCACCATTCCCTAGGCTTGGATCCTGGACTGGATTAAAAAGAGAAAGCCATTGGAGCAGAGCAGTCATTGTTCTCTGCTTCCTAACTGGTGATGCAACATGACCAATCGCCTCAAACTCCTACCTCCAGGACTTCCCACCACGATGAGTCTTAAACTGTGAGCTTAAACAAACCCTATCTTCCTCAAGTTGCTTTTGTCAAGGCATTTTTTTTTCAGCACCAGTATTAATTAAGACATAGCTGGATGGAAATACGAAAGGAAACTTCAGAGCCTGCCTTCTACCCTGGCTGGGGAGTAGACTATGAGAACAGATTCTGACCTGCTTCAAACCAGCATGGTGATTTGGGCTTCTCATCTATAAAATGGGGATAATGATAGTACTAAATTAATAAGATTTTATGGCATAGAAAAATCCTTGCATGACTAGGTATTTAATAAACACGTTATGAAGGGGGAAAAAACAATAGAAACAGGAAAGTTGAAGTGAAGAAGAACCTTTTTTTTTTCCCCTGGGGGAATCACTTTTTCCTTGGTTCCCTTCTATATGGCCACAGACTGAGAGGCCACACTTGAAGGGAAGTTTAGTTGATAAAACAGCACATAGCATTTGGGCCAAAAGGATGGATGACCACTAGCCCCTAAGCATGGACATCTACACCTTGAGACATGTTCCCTTGTTATTTTGGGATGGGACCCTTTACAGCCTCAAGGTGGATCACATCAAGTGGAAGTAAGGGCTAGAAGAGGGGAGAGAAGAGGTGAGGGGAGGAAAGGGGAGAGGAGGGGAGGGGAGGCAAGAAGAGGGTACACCTTGCAATTCCCACGGGAGAAAAAACCAGTCTCTCCCCTAAAAACTTCTTGGAGGGCTGGCTTATAGTGCCTCCCTTTTGGGGAGTGGGTTAAGGGGTACTTTTCATCTGCCCGTCCAATGGTTTCTATCTCCAGTGTGCTTTATCCATATGAAAGGAAAAAAAAATGTTCTCTGGAATCTGTCCAATGCTAAACAATACTAAATTGGAGAATCAATGGGTACAAACAATACACCTCATAAAAGGGGCAGAAGAGACTAGAACCAGGTGATGCCATGGGGCCAAGGCCTCTGAAGGGGCGGCAGGTCTCTGGGTATGGGCGGGGTAAGTGTGGGGAGGCAATCCAAGCCTTGACTGAAGGCATACTAGGTAGAGGTCCATTCAGATTCAAGGGCAGACCCAAGTGAGCAAATGTGTCCTGGTGGCAGAGCTGAGGCAGCTCTGCCATCTACAGTTGTCCAGAAGGTGCGGGGACATAAACCTACACAGACCCTACAGCGTTGCATCTGAATTTCAAGTATGAACACATCGGAAGAGGAGGTGGCTGCTGCATAGTCCCTCACAATACCATGTCAAAGATCCAAAGGACCCAGCATGCTCTTGCTTCCCAGGCCGGTAGAGTTCCTTTGAGCACTGAGGAGTCACCTCTCAGAATTCCACTCTGCTCCTTGCAACCTGCAGCTCAAGGCTAATGTATGTGAGTGTGGACAGGAGAGGGATAGTGAACTTATGTTTACGCTGAGGACAGTGGTCAGTGAACGGTGTGTGTCTGTGTGTGTCTGTGTGTGGGTATCTATGTGTGTCTATATGTGTGTGAGTGTATGTGTGTGTCTGTGTGTGCAAGTATGTGTATATGTCTGTGTGTGTCTGTGTGTGTGTTTCTGTGTGTGTGTCTGTGTCTGTGAGTGTGTGTGTCTGTATGTGTGTGAGTCTGTGTGGGGGTATCTGTGTGTGTGTCTGTGT